AAAAAATTTTTTTTGTGAGCAGTGAACAATTTCAACCCCTAATTTGTTGATGGAAGGCGGGGCAGATGGGGGCGAGCCGTATCCCGTGGTACACTCGCTTGGTATACGCTCCCTTCAGTAGTAGGCCTTTGTTGCTGTTTAAATATTTACTTTGATTTTCCGGAATGATAAGCCTGCATTGGTCTTGAAATTTCTTACAAACAATTTTTTGATAGCTTGTCCGCAATAGCATTTTTTCGTTTGTCCTAGTCTAACAATAATAAAATCTTTTAAAAAGTTAAGTTTGGGGATAGAGGAAAGGAAATGAGTATGCGTAAGAGAAGATTAAAGAAAAATTTTCGACGAGAGAGGAGGGAGTGTTTTGTTCCATGAAGGCGTAGACATTTTTGTATAGAATCACAACTGCATCTCGTCAGTACGATGGTTGTAGCAGGATAAAATGTTTTTGAAGATAATGCTACGGAAGTTAGGTTACGAGTGATAAGTAGAAGAGGATAGATGGAAGTCTGAATGAGTTGAATGGTGGAGTGTAATAAGAGATTAAAAAGGATAGAAGATGTAGTATTGAAGTGAAATTCATATCTTCGTCATTTTTGTGTGACTGGGTATTGTGCATTCCTGATTTGTCGAGATATTCGCCCTGATAATATTAAGAAATTATTAGTTTATACTCATACAACCTGCGCATTATAATAAATGAACTAATGATAAGGATTATGGATGTACTAGTGTCGATGCATGTGAGTATCATATGTAAGCTAATAAACATCAATTTGGGAAAATGTTATAATCAATTTGGTAAGATATTTTATTGGTTGCAATAAGGGAATATAATATATAATAATATTGGTATTGTAAATATTGTATAACACTGTACAATTTTTAAATAATTAATGGACTGGCTAATTATCCCTGAAATATTAATTGGTAACGTAGGTCAGAAATTATGTACGAAATCACGGAAAAAATTATTTGTACTAATTATGAAATTAAACAGGGCATTTTTTATTCAGTTTGCTCTAGCGCTTTTTATGCGTTTTTGCCGTGCAGCGCTAGAGCGCTGCAACAGGCAGCAAAAACGCATAT